GGAAGAGAGCTACGAAAAAATTTCTACACACCGGGCGAGACACAACGACGACGAACCCGTTTGGGAGAGGGTATCGGCTTAACGATTTACAAAATATACAACAGATAAAAATATGAACAATATTAGAGTTATACAGGTATGGACAGTGGTGGCCAGTGTATGTGTCATATAGGGAACGATTGTTAAACTGATAAAGAATATTGTGTGTATAGCGTTCACCTTGACAGCAACAGTACAGTTTTCTGATTACACGGCCGGATATAACGTACGCGCGCCCATTAGCAAAGCAAAACAGTAATCTATCAATATCATAAAATTCACATTTTGTCACGTTACATAATCATAAATAATATTAATTTATTCATGTTCTAGAACCTGTTATATCAACAACAAACATAAAACAAATACTCAATAACTTGAAGTAAGTAAACCTACAATAAAGTTTCTATATACAAAAACAATGTTTCCAAACCTAGGAAATAAAATTAATTCAGAAAAAATAAAGATATCAAAAAAGTTTTAAAATAGGTATTCAAAATATTTAGAACTACAGTCATTTAATTAAATATTTAAAAAAAAACATTATGTAGAATTAAAATTAAGAAATATCATTTTTTCAAAGTTTTTATTTATTAACCTACTTCTTTTTTCAGTTATAATTTGCCCTGCTTTAGAAAATATTCGTTCGCAGGGCACTGATGTAGCTAATACGCAGTGGCGTTTTTTCATCAGTTCAAACAAACGTGGATATACATTTTGGTTGTCTTTCCACCATTTTAAAATGTTTTTATTTCTTGGAATTAACCCTTCTTGAAGGTATTTATCAATTTCAATGATAGCTACAGAAGTCGGATTTGTAGATATCAGTTGACTACTTACTTCTTCATCAAAATCGTTCCAAATAGAATCTCCTCCAATAACAGAAGGTTGATTTTGTGTCACAATTGGTATACTATTTTCAATCCGTATCAATGTAGCTTCATCAATTAATGTTTTTTTTCCTTCTAAAAATGCTCTTTCACTAAAAAATCCAAATTTTTTAAATCTTGGATCAAGAATCGTGGCTTCTGCCAAAATTTGTATTTTTTCAAGTGATCCAAATCTTTGTTGTACTTGTTGATTTAATTTGGAAACCATATTTGTTAATTGCGGTGAATCATATGACTGATTTTCCAAATGAGTACAATACTTAAGTAGTGCTCGACTAAATACAATAGATTTTGAAATAGAAACACATTTCTCACTACTTATTTCTACTGTTATTTCCTTAAAATATTTTAATATCTCACATGTTTTTGAAATAATTAGCCAGTCATTATTGGACAAATAAGCATCATAATGGCAATCAACTAATACTGATGATAGAGGAATTTTAAGATCTAGAATACGCTGAAACATCTCATATGTTGAATTCCAACGAGTGACAACATCCTGAATCAACATTAAAGGTGGTATTAAGCCTAATTGAATTTGCATATTTATAAGTTTTTCAGCTGCTTGAAGGCTTCTCTTGAAATGACCTACAATTCCTCTTACTTTATCTCTTATTTCAGATATTGATTTAAGAGCTGTTTGCACCACTAAATTCAAGCTATGAGCATAACAACCTACATGTCTCCATCCACACATATTAATAGCATTAACTATATTGTGAGCGTTGTCCGTTGTGCATGCAGCAATGCAGTTNGTGTTGTCTGTTGTGCATGCAGCAATGCAGTTACCCAAGCTCCATTCATTTATAACTGCTAATAAATCATTTTTTAAATTTTCTGATGTATGTGATTCAGAGTTTTTAAAACAAGAAAGAAGATATGATTTTGATTGACATTCTTTATCTATAAAATGGTATGTGACAGCAATATAATTTTCATTTTTAACTGAAGTCCAACTATCGGTAGTAATACTAACATATTTAGCATTATTTCTTATGTCTCTTTTTACCTGATCATATATTTCATTATACATTACAGGTAATAATGACTTTGAAANTCATATATTTCATTATACATTACAGGTAATAATGATTTTGAAAGAGTTTTTTTCGATGGAAGTGTGTATCCAGGATTAAGTAATTTTAAAAGTTTGACGAACTCTTCGTCTTCAACGATACTGAAAGGATAGTATCCTTGACAATCATTTTTAGAACTTGTTGATCAGTCGTTTTACGACGTGAGGAACCCAATGGCTTTGAAAAGTATTGAGAAATTGAATTATTTACAAATATAGAATTTTGAGAATGACTAATAACTGAATGTTCATTGATAAAGAAGATTGAAATGGAATTTCTGAAGACACGGCAGTTTGGCAATTTATGGGATTAGATTTTGAAACAGTTGTACTCTAAAAATATATATGTTTACATTTAGTAGTATAAATATTTACTTATTTTTCTACTGTATGTATAAATTAATTAATAATAATCAAATATTAAATATGAGAATGATTTTTATGTTTTTAAATTGAAATTGTAATATATATATATAT